AATAGCAGCCAGCCTTGTCTTAAGAGGGTTCCTGATGCCACATTCAATGTCTACTTTAGTAAGAAATGAGTTTATGTCTTAGATTCCATAAATATAGAAATTCCATGATTCTAAATAGTCTCAGTAGGGAATCCTGCTTGTTCCTATCTTGCTACTTTGCTACTCTGGAATTAAATGTACTCCCTTAACACTGAAGTAATTAATGACGATTTCTGAAGCTGGTTGGCAGAGAACAAGTAGGCACACCAAAGGCATACAAAGTTGTAGCTGAGGCCTCAGCAGCCTAGAGCTTCTTGTGCCTGATTCTGCTGTTTCTGCTGATGCTTAAGTAGAGTCCAAAGTGATCAGCTAAGGCTGGCTTCTGCCAGTACACCCCCTACCCAGGCTACAGTAGTTTTTATAGGTTCCATGGAGGAAGATTACAATCTTTTAGTGTTCAGTTCAGCTAAGAAGCTCCATACCAATTTCCTGGGCTTACTACTCCAGCTTTTTAGATTTCACTCCCTGGCATTTCCCTCATGTCAGGAGTCTTATCCCCCCCCCCCCAGATTCTGGTGCCAGGAAATTCATGGACCCCAAAACACCAGACCTCTTACTTGTCACCCCCTACAAGTAGAGCCTACTTCTATTTTCAGATTCCAGCCTAGGTTCAAGATCTATCACCAAATGAGTAAAAGGAGAGGAAAAACTCACTAATTGCTATTACAGGGTCTCTAACCCCTATATCCTAAAGTCTGTTTAGGTACCAGGCAGTCATCTACTTATACATGTAATGCTTTTTTAAAAAGATTAGTAGCAAGCCAAACGGGAGAATTTTGAAAGAGTTCCTGGAATCTATTTCACATGTGCTAAAAATGCATTTAAATATATATTCATTTATACTAGTGGTGAAAGTTGTTGCTTCTAATGGTAAGAAAGGCGGGGGGGGCAAAGTCAGAAAACAGTTGTTTTTCATAAGACAGCACACAGAACTCTCTGACTCTTTAAAATATGACCATTTGTATATTTCAAAATATAAAACCAAAAGAAAATTAAGAATAAATACTACTTTGAGATAAAACAAACAAAAAACTCTGCAGAGAAGAAGCAAATTACATACAGACTCAGAAAAAGAAGGGCTTCAGAATTTTCAGCAACAACACTAGAAGCCAGAGGCAATGGAGAAATGCTTTATAGTTTTTGAGGAAACTAGTTTCCAAATTAGAAATCTACTTTCAATCAAACTCATATATCCTTGGTGTAAAATCAAGATAACTTTAGGCATACAAGGCACATTAGCCAGGTTAAGTTAATACAGCAGAAACTACTCTAGACAGTTGCTATGGTTAAATGTTTGTATCTACCTGCCCCCAAAATTCATATGTTGAAATTCTAAGCCCAAATGGATGGTATTAGAAGGGGGTGCCTTTGGGAGTGATGAGGTCATGAGATGGAACCCTCATGAATGAAACTGATGCCCTAAAAACAAAACAAAACAAAACAAAAAAGAAACTGATGCCCTTCTAAAAGAGACCCAAGAAGGCTCCCTTGTCCCTTCTACCATGTGAGGGCACGCTGAGAAGTCAGCAGGCTGTGAGCTAGAAGAGGATGTTCACCAAAATCCGGCCATGCTGGCACCCTGATCATGGATTTCCAGCCTTCAGAACTGTGAGAAATAAATTTCTGCTGGTTTTAAGTTTGTGGTATTCTGTTACAGCGGCCCAAACACACTAAGATATCAATTTAGGCCAAAAAGACTAGTGATAAGATGCAGAAAGCTCACAGACTGGGAGAAAATGGACGGCACTTCCAGGAGTGACAGCCCAGCACAGACCTGCCCATTGAGGGAGTTGATGCCTCGGACAGAAGCCACTAAATCACAGGTGCCAGTTCCAACCTCTGCATCTGCCATCATCAAGAGGCTGTAAAATCAGATGCTTCAGTCACACTTTAGACTCCAGAACCCTGCTGGGCTGCCTCACCCAGATATGCACCTGCCAAGCGGAAGCCTTCGTCATGCCTCTTTCCCAGGTAATACGGCCCTGGATCTAGATTGTGACTCTGACCCAAATGCAGCTGACGGGTAGAATCAGAAAATGTCTGTAATCCAACAACTGGAAAATGACCTAAAACATGTTCTTTGTTAAGAATATAGAATTTATGGGCACCTGAGTGGCTCAGTGGTTGAGGAACTTACCCTTGGCTCAGGTCATGATCCTGGGGATCCTGGGATCTAGTCCCACAACAGGCTCCCCACAGGGAGCCTGCCTCTCCCTCTGCCTATGTCCCTGTCTCTCTGTCTCTGTTTCTCATGAATACATGAACAAAAAATCTTTAAAAAAAAAAAGAATATAGAATTTATAATGTGGGAAACTCTTCAAAGAGTGGGAAGGCAGCCTGAATGGCAAACAACCATACACACATCCTTAAACTTCTACCTCTTACAGACTCTTTCTTATGAAGCAGCCAAAAGATACTACTGGTGTTTCAGCACCAAACAAAAGAATGAATCAAGAAAAGAGAGCGAGATCAAATTAGGAAATAGGAGACCTGACACATGGAGGCAGGCAAAAGTGGTTCCCAAAATGATGATGAAGGGAAAGTCCAGTGTGAGCAGGAAGACAAAGTCCACACAGAGGGATGGGAACAGGGAAGAATCTGCTAGATCACCTAATGTTATTAACTCTTATCAAAGTATCCAGAGAATGATGACAAGCACAGAAAATACTGAACAATAGGAGGTGGGCGGGGGGAGCGGGGCGGGGGGTGGGGCGGATAGGGAAGGCAAGCATTAACCCTAAGAAAATAAAAAGATATATAGGAAAGGAAATAAAATTTTACTGTGCTACATGTCTCAGGCATAACAGGACTTTCACAGGCATGGTAGTGTAAACACTCTTTACACTGATGATAGAGAAGTGATGTAACTATATCAGGAGGCTGGGGTAGGAAGGGAAGAAGATGCATTAGAAGGGAGAATACAGTGGGGTATAAACACTAGCTACTAGCTCTTCATCTTCTACTTTAGGAAGCCAAACATAGTATCTAACATTGAGAAAACAAGAAATAATAATATAAGCGTGTTACTTAGCATGTGAAAATAAACACCACAAGAATGTTTTTTTAAGGTTTTTTTTTTAAGTTGCTTATTGTTGCCTTGAGGGCACAGCATATTAGAGTGGAAAAGGGTGAAGATCACTATTTTTCAATTATAATCCTGACAGCATTATTTCACTTTTAAAGTCATGTATATACATACATGCATGTATGTAGACACATATACATGCCTATACATACATATGTATGTAGACATGCTTGTAGATATATATTCATACACACTAATTAAAATTTTTAAATTAAATTTAGGAAAAAACAACTCTTGGTGGTTCATCTGCAGCCTTCTCTTAAGATTCATGCATCTCCTCTCTCTCCCTTTTCGGTGGTACACCTGCTGATTCTATAAACCATTCTCTCCTCCTGTCAAGATGACAAACTACATTAGCCACTGGCTCCTTTCTGAAAATCAACCCTAGAGAAACTACAGAAGCCAGAGGGAAACTTGAATTTGAGGAACTAGCAACAAAGAATAAACTAAAATAAAACACTATGAAAAGTCCCTGGGAAGTCTGCAGACTCAGGAAATGAATGAGAGGGCAGGGACATGGTAGGGGGTTATATGGCTTCAGCCTGGGGGAAGGCAGCCAGAGGAGGACAGCTTTCTGTTCTGCTCTTGCTTCTCCCCTACATGGACAGTCTGTGGATCGCCCCAGAAACTGGCAGCAATAGCTAAGGCTGCAGAGGTCAGCTGGGTATAATAAGGGCAGTGCAAAAGCCCTGCAGGAGTAAGGAGGGATGAGAACAGGGAATGTGTACTGAATACCTTGGGTATTCACCATTGGACCCCCTCCCACTCTAAACCCCCAGGACAAGCAGAGCAAACCTATGGAAACTGTTCTGTTTCTAGAGTCTAGAAACTATTTCCCATTTCCCACTTAAATGGGAAATACACACTAGAAAACTTATTTCTGGATGGTGGGCAAATGGGAATGATCACCAACAGCTCTGTGGACCCTGAGGCTCTCTTCCCTGGCTTTAATTTAGCTACAGGTACATCAAATAGAGTCTGGGCTGTAGCCATTTCCCAGCCCATAACCATGTGTAGTAATTGATAGTCAAAGTTGAGGAGGGGTTCTCGGGACCAAAAAAAAAACACACAAAAACAAAACAGAACAGAAAAACAGAAATCCATTTAAGGACTACAACTACTATATAAGCAAAACAGCAAACTCAACAGTGAAGACCATCTGAATCAGAATTATGAGAAGGGACAGACTGAGCAATTAACGTGTAAAGTAATGATGATAAATATATTAAGAAGTAAAGGTTGATGTCAGAAATATGAAGTAAGAATGAGAAAACATTTAAAAAAGGACCAAATTGAGTAGAAGGTATGAAATATGTAATAGCTGAAGTGAATAAAACAATAGTTAATATATAAAGCAAGATGGATAAAGGATGAATAAATCAATGAATTGAAAGATCAGATGGACAGGGACATCTGAGTGGCTCAGTAGGTTAAGTGTCCGATTCTTGATTTCGGCTCAGGTCACAATCTCAGGTTTGTGGGATCAAGCACCGCAGTAGGCTTCATGTTGGGCATGGAGCCTGCTTAAGATTATCTCTCTCCCTCTCCCTCTGCCTCTCCCCCCAACTCTCGCACCTGTGCATGTGTGTGTGTACGCACTCACACACTCTCTCTCTCAAATAAATAAATCTTTAAAAAAATAAAGAAATAACAGATGGACAAACAGAGGTTAGCATAAAAGGGAAAAGAGAAGAAATATAGAAGAAAGCTAGAAGATGTGAAGGGTGGGAGCAAGAGTGCGGTGATTTGTGTCCACTTGGCTAGGCTGAATCCAGTTCCCTCATACCCCATTTCCTGTACATTACCATTTAGGTGGGCCATAAGCCAGATTCCTGAGAAAAATCTGAAGGGCACTGTCCGTAACCTGCTAGCTCACCTCACTGGTGGGAAGCAGCCATGGAGTTTCAAGCCTCTGCACCTTGCATAGATCCTCACTAAGCTTCACTGACCTCCAGACCAGGTATGTGCTTGGCAATTGTGATGAAAGACTCTGGTTTCTGTAAGAAACACGTATAATCAAGGTTAGAGGCAAAAAGAACTAACAGGAATTCCCATCTGTCCTCACAGGCTCCAGATTGTACTTGTGAGTTCCAACATGTCTTTACTTCCATCTTCCATTCCCAACCTCCCGATCTATAGTGTTAAAGCTCCCACTGGATATAAAGACCATAGTCTTGTAAATACTGTTTAACCAGTGTTCACATTTCATAAGGTCAAATCCCTGCAATATATATATATATATCCCTTTCCCACTCCCATCATACTGATATTATCTCAAATTTTAGTTCTAAGTTGTTTTGGATATATTTGTAAGTTTGTTCTTTTTCTCACTTTGGTCCTTAATAAAAACATAAACTTTACCAAGGAACTGTATCACCTTTAATCATATTTCTTGAATATTGAGTACTGCTTCCAATACATGTTTTTAGTACAACATCCTTTTCAGTCTTACCTAAATATATGTGTGTGTGTATGTGTGTGTGTATTTGTGTGTGTGTATATATATATTTTTTTTTAAGCCATCACACTGGAAAGACAATTTGGCTAAATATAAAACTTGAGGGTCAAAGTTATTTTCCTTTATATTTAGAAAGTATTTTCCCATTTGTCATTTTGTGCCCATTGTTCAACCTGATTCTTGTTCTCATTAATGATCTCTTTGTTTTCTCTGGAAGTTTTAAAAATTCTTTCCTTGTATTTGATGTCCTTAAGTTTTTTTCTGATGTCCTTAAGTTTTTTGCTTATTTCTTTATAATTTGTCCTCTCTTTCTCTATTTGCGTATAATAGAGTTCAATCAGAGAAGCAGAACTATTATGACATCGGGGTGTGTGTGTATGTTTACAATAACAATTATATATATACACACATACATAGGTTCACTAAATTACTTGTCTAGTTAGGAGAAATATACAGATGTTGATAAGATTAAGAAATTAATAAGAACAGGGGTGCCTGGGTGGCTCAGTCCATTAAGCATCTGACTTCAGCTCAGGTCATGATCTCAGGACCTGGGATCAAGCCCTGTGTTGGGCTCCCTGCTCAGCAGAGAGCCTGTTTCTCCCTCTACCAATGCCCCTCCCTCCCAGTGCCCCTCCCCTCACTGCACATGCAGTCTCTCTCTCTCAAATAAATAAATAAAATCTTTAGAAAAAAAAAGAATCAATAAGAACAAGTAAACATGGAGTAAGGGTCTTAAAGGAAGCTACACTTGAACAAAAACAGAATAATTTTTTGACCAAGCAGAAAACAAAAAGAAAATACAGTAAACTGAAAACGAGATGTCGTAGGAGAAGTAATTTCTAAAACAACAGCAATCACAATAAGTGTAAATGGAATTAAATCACAAGTTAAAAAAAATACTCTCTAATAGTATTAAGAAGTAAAAACAAATTCCAAAAATATGTTGTCATAAGAAATATTCATAAAACCTAAAGACACATAAAAAACAGCAATGAAAGTAGCTGACAAAAAAAGTTGAGATAAAAGATAAAACAATAAAGTAAGAAGATATAACCATCATAAAAATATATGGACCTAATAATATGTTACTGTAACTGACAGCATACAGAGAGAAACATATAGTTGTAATTTTTAACACCCAGTTATGAGAAATGTATTAAGTAAACAAAAATTAAGTAGATTTTTAATCTAAATAATATTACTTATAGGCTTATACTATTAATTATACTGTTCAGATCTTTGATAGGTATGTTCTGATGGTACGGTGTATATAATATGTATCTTTGGGTATATATACATGCCATAATAGTTCATGCAACTAATGGCAAATATACATTTTTAGAAACATACACATATTAACATGAATGTATCATGTCTACAAGAAGTCTTAATAAACTCACCCAGAATAATGTCTATACATTATATCTTCCAAACATAATGGAATAATACTAGAAATAAATAACAGAATTTCTTTATATGTCCCATATTTTGAAAATACCACATCATTGGATAACTCATAGGTTAAAAATGAAATTATAATCAAACTGAAGAAATATCAAGTAGTGCTTGGGTGGCTCAGTTGGTTAATTATCCTACTCTTGGTTGTGGCTCAGGTCATGATCTCAAGGTCATGAGACTGAGCCTCAAGTCAGGTTCGACACTCAGTGGAGGAGTCTGCTTGAGATTCTCTCTCTGTCCCTCTTTCATGCATGCTCTCTCTCTCAAATAAATAAATAAATAAATAAATAAATAAATATTTAAAAATGAAGAAATATAAAAAAATAAAGAAATATCTAGCATTAAACGAACATGAAAACACAAAATGTATGCAGCATAACTAAAGAAATATTTACAAGGGCATTTATACATTTAAATATGTTTATCAGGTAACAATAAATGTTGAAAAGAAATATGCTCAGCATCCAGCTCAAGAAGTAATAAAAAAAAAAAAGGACATCAAAAGAAACTCAAAGAAGAAAAAAAATGTAATAAAGGATGTAACAAGAAACAATATAGTAACTTTTTTAAGTGAAGGAAATTAAAAAGACTAAAAGTTCTATTTTTGAAAGATAACCAACATAAATTTCTGATAAAACTGATAAGGAGGGGCACCTGGGTGGCTCAGGCAGTTAAGCACCTGCCTCCAGCTCCAGGTGGTATCTTGGGGTCCTGGGATCCAGCCCCATGTCAGGCTCCCTGCTCAGTGTGGAGTCTGCTTCTCCCTCTCCTTCTCCCCTTCCCCCCTGTTCATGAGCACTCTCTCTCAAGTAAAAAAAATAAAAAAATCTTTTTTAAAAATGGACTTAGTGGGAAAAAAGAAAGTAAAAACTAAACAAAGTATGATCAAATAATGAAGAGGAGAAAACAATTTCAGATTTTAAAAGAAAGCGTAGATATAGGCATAAAAAATTCCCCAAAAAATACGTGAAATGCCAAACTGGCACAAAAAGAAAAGGATAATTTAAAACAGATTCACAAGGATTCAAGAAATTTAACTGGTAGTTAAAAATCCATCTCAAAATCTCTAGACCTGGATGCTTTTTAAATGGAATCTATTAAACTTTTAAAAACACAATTCCTATGTTATGTAAGTTGTTCCCAAAAATGCAAAAAAAAAAAAGTCTCAGTTCATTTTATGAAACTAATATAATCTTACTTCCCTCAAGGCTTCTGGATTTTAAGACATAATTCATAAAGTGTTCCCCACTCCCAGATTATAGAGGATTTATCCACATCTTTCCTGGTACTTACATGCTTTCATTTTATTTTAACATTTATGTCTCTGATCCATTTGGAATTTATTCTGGTACGTACTGTAAATAATGAATCCAATTTTCTCTATTCCCATATGGCTACACACACTGGTGTGCTGGAGCTGGCTCATGCCAGCTCATAAGAGATGATTGTTAAATTTTCAGGAATTTTGTGAGCTGATTGCTAAACACAGCCATTATTACAAAATAGGGAAAATCTATTAAGTCTAATCTATAGAGAAAATCTAAATTTGGTTTGGTAATGACTTTTTAGATAAAATTCCAAAGGCATGCTCCATGAAAGTAATAATTGGTAAGCTGGACTTCTTTAAAATTAAAAACTCTACTTTGCAAAAGACATTGTCAAGAGAATGAGAAGATGAATCACAAACTGGGAGAAAGTATTTGCAAAAGACACATCTAATAAAGGACTTTATCCAAAATACACAAAGAGCTCTTAAAACTCAATAGTAAGAAAATTAAAAACCTGATTTATAAGAGGGATAAAAGACCTAAATAGACACCTTGCCAAAGAAGATACACAGTCAGCAAATGAGCATATGAAAGGATGCTCCACATCATATGTCATTAGAGAAATGCAAACTAAAACAATAATGAGATACCACTAACATCTATTGGAAGAGCTAAAATCCACAAACTGACAACACCAAATGCTGATGAGGATGTGGAGCAATAGGAACTCTCATTCATTGGTGGTGGAATGCAAAATCAAATAGCCAATTTGGAAGACAATTTGGTGATTTCTTACAAAACTGATCATGCTCTCATCATGTAATTCAACAATGGCCCTTCTTGGTATTTATTAAAATGAGTTGAAATTTTACTTAGAAACCTCCCCTCCGAATATTTAGAATAGCTTTATTTGTAACAACCATAACCAAGATGCCTTTCAGTAGGCAAATGGGTACACTGTGGTACATTAAGACAATGGAATATTATTCAATGCCAAAAAGAAGTGAGCAAAAATATAAATGCATATTACTAAATGGAAAAAGCCAATCTGAAAAGACTGCATACTACAAAATTATAAGTATATGATATTCTCAGAAAGACAAAGTAAGAGACAGTAAAAAAAATAGTAATAAATAAATAAATAAAAATCAATGGTTACCAGAGGTTATGGAGGAGGAAGGATGAATCAGAGGAGAACACAGAAGATTCTTAGGGCAGTGAAAATATTCTGTATAATACTATAATGGTGGGAATGTCATCACATATTTGTCAAAACCCATAGAATGTGCAACACCAAGAGTGAACCCTAATATACACTTGTACTTTGTGTAGTTATTATGTGTCATTATAGGTTCATCAATTGTAACAAATGTACCACTCTTGTGCAGGATGTTGATAGTGTAGGAGGCTGGTGGGGGACAGGGTTATATAAGGGAACTCTCTTTACTTTCCCCTCAGTTTTACTATGAACCTAAAACTGCTCTAAAAAATAAATCTATTTAAAATAAGAAAAGCAAGCGTGCCCGGGTGGCTCAGTCAGTTAAGTGGCTGTGTTTGGCTTCAGGTCATGATCTCAGGATCCTGGGTCAAGCCCCACTTTGGGCTCCCTGCTCAGCGTCCCCGCTTCTCTCTCCTCCTCTACCCTTCCTCCCCTGCTTGTGGGATCTCTGTCTCTCTCTTTCCCTCTCTTTCTCTCTCTTTCTCCTTCTCTCTCAAATAAATAAATAAATAAAATTTTAAAAATAAAATAAGAAATGCAAAGTGAGGCATTATCTTGCTTCTATAATATGAGCAGATATTAGAAAGTTGG